GATTCTCTCTCTCTCCCCCTCTTCCCCTCCCCCCTGCTTGTTCTCGCTCTCTCTCAAATAAATAAAATCTTAAAATAAAAAGAGAGAGAGAAAGCATGAGTAGGGGGAGCGGCAGAGGGAGAGGGACAAGCAGACTCCCCACTGATCATGACCTGAGCTGAAGGCAGACACTTAACCGACAACCGACTGAGCCACCCAGGCGCCCCTGTCCATAGCTCTCTGTGTTTACTTCACTGGACATCCCCCCTCCCACAAGCCAGGAGAACCTCCAGCACAGGGGCTGCAGCCTGTTCATCTCTGCATCCCTGGCAGTTACCAGCATCGACTAGACTCAGGAGGTTTAATGAGTGAACAGCAGGTAGCTGGGTATAAATGGATTCCATTTCCAACGGTGGTCTCTGCAATTTTAACTCAAAGACATTGAAAACGACTAAAGCTAACACTTGTCATATAACATATAACATATAACATATATAACATATAACATCCCAAACCTCTAATGAGGTTTTTACAAAGTTGTTATTTTTAGAGAATTGTATAAAATTCTACAAGACCAGCCCTTTAGTCCTTACGATGCAGTGAGGCAAATGGATTGCGAATATAAGGTCGTTTATTTATTTTTTTTTAAGATTTTATTTATTTATTTGAGAGAGAGAGAGAGACACACAGCGAGAGAGGGAACACAAGCAGGGGGAGTGGGAGAGGGAGGAGACTCCCCACTGAGCAGGGACCCCAATGCGGGGCTTGATCCCAGGACCCTGGGATCATGACCTGAGCCAAAGGCAGACGATTAGTGACTGAGCCACCCAGGTGCCCCTATAAGGTGTACTTATAAAAGCACACCCCTATAAAAGGAGGTGGGTGTACTACCCTGATCATGGTGAGCACTGAGGCATGTACGGAACTGTCGAATTAACGCTGCACACCAGAAACAAATAGAACATGCTATGCCAACTGTATTTCGATAAAAAAATTTTGAAAAAATGAAAATAAAGAGGTGGTATGGAGGAAGGAATACGTGGAGGACAAGAATATTCATTTACTCTCCACTCCGCTGGATGCCAAGGAGACCGTGTTCTCATTCTCCAGATACTCAGAGTCTCACAAGAAGAAGTGATGCGTAAACAACTATTCTCGAGTAATCACCATGCTGTACAATGTCCCAGAGTGACAGAAACAAATAAAGTTTTCTTTCTCTCTGAGCAAAGCTTTGCTCCGTGTCCTGCATAGGGTTTTTCATTTTTAGGCTAGAATTCTTCCAGAGTAAGAAATAAAAAGCAAGCACTCTCATCATGTACGTCCCACATACGTACCGGGCCAAGTGAGAAAGCCCCCGAAGGCCTGGGTTAAGCCTTTGAGCCATAAAGTCTTCTCCACCAGAGCATCGAAGTCCATGGATGGCCGGTTCTGAAGCAGAACAGCAACCGTTAGGGCCCAGGGGCTCAGAACCAGGTTTTGAATCTGCAGAAGCTGCATTTTGTAGGCAACTTCAGTGACAAAGGCATGCATGTCCTCTGACTGTTTCTGAGGAATATACCTACAAGGAAGAACAGAGAAGAACAAATTACAGCTCTGCTACCTACACTAATGTGAATGGAGGGGTGGGGGGTGGGAGAAGACAGACCCTTGAGAAGGCTTCTCGTACTCTCTGCCAACCGAATTCTCTCAGGTCACAGTGCAAGAATATACCTTTACTTGACTATAGCGTAGCCTGTCCAAGGGGACAGAGTCCTATTCTTCCTGGTTCCAGGCAAAAAAAACTTCTGCTGCTTTATAAATAGATCTATCACTTCCTCTGTGAAAACAGAGGCCTCCCCCAGTAGACAGAACTGCTCGGTCCTCTCAGAATCCACTGTGCTTTGAACACCTGTCTCCCAGAACATGCGTACCAGGTCACATGGTAACCACTCATGTCTGCGCTGGACAGGCTATCCAGTTTGCCTGGCGGCTACACTGCCCTTCTGAGGAGCTCAAGGTCACCTGCCAAGTACTGCCACGATCCTCACCTGACAGACTCTTCAGGCATGGATCAGCAAACTGGGAGTCAGATGGTGTCAGGAGGCTGTACGGAGCAGGATGACGCAGGGACATGCACAGGACCCAAAGCAGCCACAAGGTAAGGTGGCTTCACGTGAAAGCTAGGGCCGATGAGAGAACAACTGGCCAACCCGATCTGAGATCTAGAGAGGGAAAGCCTGTGGCAGCAAAAAGCTAACGTCTGCTTGAGAGCTAATGAAGCTGCTAGTGACGCACACCGGCAGCCGTGGGCCCGCTGGCGCAATAAATTATGAATGATGTTGTAATCACGGGAAGCCTGGCTGAGCAGATGGTTTGTCTCCCTTACTTCCCCAGGTGTATTTCTCCAAATTAAGAAAACCCAAGTGTGTATCTATACCTGCATCCTAAAAGAACCTAATACATTTCTGTGCCCATAAAACTACAACCTTCTGGGGGCGCCTGGGTGGCCCAGCGGGTTAAGCATCTGACTCTTGGTTTCGGCTCAGGTCATGATCTCAGGTTCGTGGGATGGAGCCCCGAGTCGGGCTCTGTGCTCTGCACAGAGTCTGCTTGTCCCTCTTCCTTTCCTGCCCTCCCCCACCCTCCCACTTTCTCTCTTTCTCAAATAAATAAATAAATAAATAAACTCTTAAAAAACAAAACAAAACAAAACTGTAACCCTGAGGATAGGGACTCACTCCCATTCATTGTTATCATATAATCCCTTCTAGGATCAAAATAATACTTAGCACACACCGGCTGCCCTACCAATAGTGCTCAGCAACTCTCCCCCCACACAGAGTGGGTAGGGTACTAGGCGGTGGAGTATAGTACGGGTAGTAGAGTACTGGTTCCCCCGAGAAGAATGAGCAGCACTGTCTGACTTTGTGTATTTGACATATATACCCTGCAGCTAACCGTTTTCTTTGGCAAACATAATTCTTCTCTTAAAATTTTTTTTTTTTTTTTTAAACTTTTAAGCAATCTCCACACCCAGCGTGGGGCTCAAACTCATAATCCTGAGATCAAGAGTCGAATGCTACATCGACTGAGCCAGCCAGGTGCCCTGCAAACGTCATTCTCTAACTGAAGCTTTCTGCTTCCCCTGATACATGGTCTCAGATAACCAAATTTCAGTCCTAGAAGGGGTCAACTCAAGAATGACAACCACACCTCCAGATTTTCATCCTTATTTCTATGTCAGTTATGAAAACACAGGCCTTGCACCTTGGAACCAAGTTATACGGACTCCGACTCATCCTCCCAGCCGCCAGGGATCGAAGTGACACAGGGTCTCCAAAGTATACATGGATAGTTCCAAAATTTTCAGAGAGAACCTTCCTGGCTTTCAACAATCCCTAATAACGGAGGAAATGAAACAAAGAAGAGTAAGTTCAGAAAGGAGTTGGTGTATAAACCAGCATTTTCTCTAAATTCAAGTAAAATCAAGTTGGTTATCCTTTACGTACAGTTGTAGACTCTTTCGGCTTAGGAACCCCTAGAAGCTCATACACGTAAAGCGTTTCTTCCAATATCTTATCGTAACTGATGCTAATTGGAACAAGGTAGGTATCAAAAACTTCTCTTTTAAAAAATGGTTCCATCACAATATTCAGAAGACCTGTCAACAGAGAGAAATGGTTTTCTGCGTGAAGTGACACGTGGAGCTAACAAGGATACATAAACAGGAAGATACTGAAGTGTACATTATATCCTAAGCCCGTAAATATAAACAGTTACAACTTAAAGAAACAGTTACACTTATAAAGAAAAAATATCTTGCAAAAAAAAAAAAGTGTCAAGCTGTATTTAGCAGCTACGATGACACCACACCTTCTGGGTTTGTATTCTTCTTTCAATCTCTAAAGGACCTACCAAATTTCGGAGTCAATGTCTTGGCAGAGCGACTTCTTGTCCCTTCGAGGAAAAATTCAACAGGAGCATAACCATTCTTTAAAGAGAAAACACAAACAAACAAAACAAAACACAAAACCCATTGCCTACTCTCAAAGTGAGAAATGCTTCTTTTGATTCCTTTCCCCAAGCTGCCCCCGCACCCTGCCCCGGCCTCCTGAGCAAACGCCGCACACAGCGCACCCAGGCGAGAGGGCCGCATGGGGCCAACAGACCGAGGAGGTCATGCGCATTCCTTCACGGGGACAAGAAGCTGAGCGGGCCATTCGGGAGTGAAGAATTTAAGTCCGATCCTATGGCAAGCTCAAGCCCAAGCGAAAAGGAATGCAGCCTGAAAGTACTCGGAAATTCTCTGCCTTTACCCGCAACATGGTTTTCACGTATTCAGAGAACACCGCCCAGTAGAGTTTGTTGCCACCGAAGGTACGCCGCATGAAGAAGGCGCCCGACATCCGCAGCAGCTCCCCGACCATCTTCATTCCCAGGAAGTCTAAACAATAAACAGAGAAGGGGTTCATCTTTATTTGCAGATCTTGAAACTTTCTATAAATACCTAAACTCACGTTCTGTGATGAAAGAGTTCATGTATGGAAGCCGCCGCTATGATATCACTAATTGTACTTCCCGAGCTGAAAATCCGTAAGAAGAGACATCAGACAGAATTATGGGAGAGAAGGGACAGTGTGGGCAGGCCCACCGGGGGGCTACCACATGTGTCCCCCACACCCCCGCGTTTATAACCACGGCCGGCAAGGTGACAAGCTCAGTAACGTGATCATGCCGAGTTCTTGAGCTAGCACTGCTGCTTGACGACAGACCGGCACGTGGCCTCCATGCTGGCCACCTGGCCAGACCAGCTCTCACCTTTCTTTTTGACCCATGAGGTAAAAATATCAGCCTTCTTTTACTAGCACAGATGAAATAAAGCAAGTCTGGGATACTTTAGTCTGCCATTGGTTTTAAAACCCTCCTTTTTTCCATTTTCCTTAATTTTCAACGCTCACATGTCTGGACAGATGAAAATGCTTTTAAAGTACTTAAGTCCCTGGCAATTTTTACCTCACTCTTTACTGCATTTATTAACCAAGGTGTATGCCTGAATCCCAACTTTCCTGGCTCCCTCCAAAGGGAGAAGATGAACAATGATTTGTGTTAGCAATCCTGCTTCTAGGAATCAGTCCTCCAGAAATAAAAGCCCCAATATGAGAATATATTGTAAAACTGCAACCACAAAACTACCAAATTACGGTGGACCTACCCTGCTGAATATTATAATGTCAGACATGAAGTTGGGCCTTCATCTTACACTGTATGCAAATTAACTTGAAATGGATCAAAGGCCTAAATGTATGATGTAAAACTATAAAATTCTTAGAAGAAAACATAGAGGTAAAACTTCATGATATTAAATGTGGCAATGATTTCTTGGATAGGACACCGAAAGCAGAGAGAACAAAAGAAACTGACAACGAAATTGGGCTACATCACAATGACAAGCTTCTGTGCATCAAAGGATCCATTGATAGAGTGCAAAGTCAACTTTGGGAGAAATCTGATGGGAGAAGGGAAAAAATATTTGCAGATCATGTATCTGATAAGGGGTTATTATCCAGAATATATAAAGAACTCCTACAACTCAAGAACAGCAACAAAAAACAACCCAATTCAAAAATAGGCAAAAGACTGGAATAGATACTCTTCCAAAAAAGATACAGAAATGGCCAACAAGTCCATGAAAAGATGATCAACAATGTTAGTCACCAGGGAAATGCAAATCAAAATCATACTGAGATACCACGTCCTACCCATTAGGATGGCTATTATTAAAAAACAAAAAAGTAAAACAAGAAAACCCCAGGATGCCTGGGTGACTCAGTTGGTTAGGTGTCTGCCTTCGGCTCAGGTCATGATCCCAGGGTCCTGGGATCGAGTCCTGTGTTGGGCTCCTTGCTCAGTGGGGAGCCTGCTTCGCCCTCTGCCTGCCACTCCCCCTGCTTGTGCTCTCTCTCTCTCCCTGACAAATAAAATCTTAAAAAAAACAAAAACTACAAGAAAATAAATGTTGGATGCAGAGAAACTGGACCCTTGTGTACTGTGCTGATGGGATGTAAAATGGTGCTGCCACTATGGAAGACAATATGGTCTTCAAAAAATTTTTTAAAGGGGCGCCTGGGTGGCTCAGTTGGTTAAGCGACTGCCTTCGGCTCAGGTCATGATCCTGGAGTCCTGGGATCGAGTCCCGCATCGGGCTCCCTGCTCGGCAGGGAGTCTGCTTCTCCCTCTGACCCTCCCCCATCTCATGTGCTCTCTCTCTCTCTGTCATTCTCTCTCTCAAATAAATAAATAAATAAAATCTAAAAAAAAAAAAATTTTTTTTTAAAAATTAGCATATAATCCAGCAATTCTACTTCTGGATATATACCCGGAAGGCTCAAATATCTGCAGAGACTCAAGCAGATGTTTGTACACCTATGTTCATAGCAGCATTATTCATAATAGCCAAAAGGTGGAAGCAACCCAAGCGTCCATGGACAGAACAATGGATAAACAACATGTGCTCTATACATCTAATCAAATAGGATTCGGCCTTTAGGAAGAAAATTCTGAAACATGGTGCAACATGAATGGACCCTGAGGACATGATGCTGAGTGAAAGAAACCAGTCATGAAAGGACAAATCCTGTAGGATTCCACGCATATGAGGTATCTAGAGGAGCCAAATTCCTAGAGACAGAAAGTAGAATGGTGGTGCCACCAGCCGGCGGGAGACCAGAATGAGGAGTTAGTGTTGAATGGGGACAGAATTTCAGGTCTGCCGAGATGAAAAGTGGGTGGAGTTCTGTGGGTGGAAGGTGGTGAGGGATGCACAACAATGTGAATGTACTTAATACCACTGAACTATGGCCTTAAAGATGGTTACGGTGGTAAATTTTATGTTTTGTGTCTTTTACCATAATTTAAAAAGATGTAAAAAAAAAAAATTACTGACCTCAGAGATAACCACTGATAAATTATCAGATAAAAAAAGCAAAGGCCGGTCATACATATGGCGGTATCTCATTTTTCAAACCTAAACCAAAACCCCTATGTGCACACATCCTTGTTTCCATCTGTAGTGAGGCACAGCACAGAGAGACTTAATCCCGACTACCGAACACCGGGGTCGGGTGGCACAAGGGAGAGGGAGTCTGCATCCTCATCTTCAAGTACCTCAGTCACTGTTAAAATCATTTCAGTGACTATTTTCATTTTTATAATTAAAACAAAAGAAAAATACGTACCCATTCCTGCAGCTATGACTGGTACCGGTAAATCATAGTTGTATAAAAGAAAAGACAACATCAGAAAGTCAATGTAACTTCGATGACTGGGCAGCAGGACAACTGGGTGCTCCTGGATGGCTCGTTGTAGCTTTAAAAGAAATGTTACAGTTTGAATACTTTCTGTTTTCCTATTATTAAAATCACATGTCACATCAGAAAATGGAAGAATGGGTATATGTACAGAGGGAATACTAAGGATAATAATGTCTTCCTGCCTCCCCTACTACACACAGAAAACTTATCTCAGAGTTTTAAATAACCTCACATAATGCAAGAATATTAAAAATGTAAATTTTATAGATCATAATAATTGGGATGATCACCAACATATTAGTTGGGCACCATATTAAGCATTTTACATACTAAGCATTTTACATGCATTGTTTTATACGACATATTTGTAAATAAGGCCTAAGCATTAGGTTCCTCATTTGTGACATGGGTCATGCATCTGATCAATGGCCAAGCTGCAGATGGAACTGAAGTGAGTCTGAATTAAAAAGTCAGCTGTTATCCAATGCGCTAGACGGGCTGTGTGCAGTAAGAGAGAACAAAGTGTCTCTCAGGTAGATTAATACAAACAAATTGGACAAATGAGAGGTATGGTATTTCTCTATTTATACACTGGACTTGCCACCAGGAAGAATGGGTGCCCTTAGTTAGAAGGAATTTGAGCTTCCAGATATATTCCGTAGGCTATCAGCCTCAAAAATACTCACCCGGATCAATGTGTTGTCTGTTTTTTAAAAATATAAATATAATTCACCAAGGCAAGGTAATGTGTGATCAGTTAAGAAGACATGGCCAGTCAACGTTCTCTGGATGGCCGTATCAAACATTCTTTTTTTTTTTTTTAAGATTTATTTATTTCTTTGAGAGAGTGAGAGAGCGCACGAGCACGTATGGGGGCACGGGCAGAAGGAGAGAATCTCAAGCAGACTCCCTAATGAGCGCGGAGCCTGACGCAGGGCTTAATCTCATGACCCATGAGTTCATGACCCCAGTCGAAACCAAGAGTCGGATGCTCAACTGACTGAGCCACCCAGGCGCCCCCCAAACATTCTTTGAGAGAGAGCCAGAGAGTAACTCAGCAAACTAGAGAATTATCATTGGAGGAAAACAGAAGAAATACATGAAAGTAAAGTAAATGACTGAATAAAACATTAAAAAACATGTAGAAGGCCAATGGAGGTAAGAGCTTCTTAGTAAGAGGAAAAACAATATTAAAAATCCAAAATGAATAAAAATAGGAAAAGCTCTTCCTTCCAGAAGAAAGCAGACTATAACACGCCTGTTAAATCACTCCTGAGTGATGGAATTAGAAAAATCACCATTTGACAATCATTTGAGTAATAACTGGTTCAGGCAAAAATCATCAGTCAATGTGAAAACTTGTGGAGGAGACTATGCTGGGAACCAGGACCCTGAAACATCCTTAGAGTATCTCTCCACACGATACTTATTCTTTACCAAGGGAAACAGGGTGACTTTACAGGGGAGAAAGCCGGCTGATACCAGATGATGAAAGTGAACACCACCAGTAAGGGGACAGACAGCCACCATGAGCTCCTTGCTCTGTTGCACTGAGAAGAATACAATGTTGCCTCCTGCCCAAGCCCTACAACTGTGAGTCTAATCCTGAGAAAACATCACTCAAATCCAAATCAAGACATGCTATAAAATGACTGGTCTGTTTTTTTTTTTTTAAATTAGTATGAAACACAAAGACTAAGGAATTGTTCCAAATTAAAAGAGTCTAAAGAGATATCGAAGCTGAATGTAACACATGATGTAGGATTTCTTTTGCTACACAAGATATAACTGGGGTGATCGATGAGATACGAATGAGGTATTACTGTGTATTAGTGTTGTATCAACGTCAATTTGCTTATTTTGATAATTGCACCATAAGGTAATGTCCTTGTTTATGGGAAAAACACAGCAGAGTATTGAGGAGAGGATAAAGGAAATGTTGTAAGGGGACCCAGGTGGATCACATACAGAAATTCTTGGTATTACTTCTGTAGCTTTGCGGACATCTGGCATGAGGTTTGTCTGTAAGTCTTACCTGACTAAGTGAATTAGTCTGAAGTCTGTAGGTCTGAAAGTAAAAAACATCACCCTCCAGAGAAGCAAAGCAGCCTGGACGCCTGCTGACGAGGGCCTGCTCATTCAGTGCAGAGTGAGAGGTCTTGGAGTTGATTAAATCGTGAGGGATAGAAGAGGTTTTTAAACAAGCAATACTCACTTTCTGAATACCTTCTTCATTTACACACACTTTGGAGAAAATTTGTTTAAATATTTTGCTCAGGGCAAAGGCAAAAAACCGGATGGCTCCCAGACGCAGTTTGTGGCTCATTTCATCTAAAATCTCACAAACTTCCTCTTGGAGGACATCGACGGATTGAAGGGATTCCTTGGAAAGCTAGAAAGAAAGGGGAAACGGGTACGACTCTGAAGAAAAGCCAGAACTCTATTCACTCAAACTGCTATGACTAGTTCCAAATGGACCAATATAATATAGCTCAAAAATGCTACATTTCCTTTCTCATTTAAATTGACAATTTATTTTCCAACATAAATAGATAAATGACCCTACTTAGACAACTTCAATGACTGGAAATTCAAAGAGAAAGAGAACAGGCTCTCTAGGATGGCATCTCACCTTTCCATTTGATTTGTTAATAAGCTTACAGCCAAATTCTCTAAAATAAGTTGTTGCCCAGGAACTAGTGTGCTAGCATAGATATTTGGCAGTTTCTTTCAGCAGACTGCTGCAGCACTTCATCTGCTTCCTCCATGCTACTACAAGGTAATATACAAAGTAAAAATACAAGATTATGTTGAAGTAACCATTCAGACTATATCAGAGATACAGGTTACTGGGACAAAACTCTCCAAAGTATCAAAGTTTAACTAGTGCAGTCAATGACCTCACACCGGAACTCTCTTTATTCCGAAGGCGTACCACATCTCTTTGTAAAGAGAACAAAATGTCAGCTGTGTGCTAGGCCTGGGGATGGGGATGAGTAAGTCAGTGTCTGTCCTCAGGGAATTCTAATTTGACCCCTTAAGCAAGCACGTTGAAAAAGAATGGCGTCTATGTGATAAATAATATTTATCCTTCGCAGAGGAGAATGTTTTGCTTTAGGATGAGGCCCAGAAGATGAGAGGGTAGGATGCTGGAGTCCCAACTTCCTAAATTACATGCAGCAGAGAAACAGCTTCTCTTTTTTAAAAATAATTGAGGTGAAATTAACATAGCATAAAATTAGCCATTTCAAACTGAACAATTCAGTGGCACTTGGTACCTTCACAAATGGATAATCCTCCTCTCCCTAGCTCCATATTTTATCTTTTGCAGGGAAATAGAGGAATCAGTGGATTGGTGGTAAGGATGGGTTTCAGGACACAAGCCTAGGAAAAGGGAGTACACTTGGAAAACCATCAAAATAGTTCAGGCCGGAACAGAAAAGGCCCCCAGAAAGGCAATAACAGGTGCTGAAGGGAAGGGGACAGGGAGTGAGTGCTCAGTTGTTTCGGGCAACAGAATGGATGGTGGGGCCATCCTGGAATTGGGGATAGAAAGCAGGGGTAGAAGGCAGTGTGGTGCAGGGGTTGAGAAGGCAGGTATACTGATTTTGAGGTGTTTGAAGACATATAAAGTAGAGGACCTGCAGGGAGTAGGACAGCTGGAGATAAGAGTCTGAACCCCGATAACCTAGCCAAGGCGAGAGGTCCTGTTTGGGCATCACGAGACTACAGATGAAAATGGAAATGACAGGAGTGGATAAAACGGACCAGGGAGACTGCAGGGATGAAGATAAGAAGGCTGAGGGTTTAACCTTAGGAAACACCAGCGGCGGATGGAAGAACTCGTAAAGAGATTAACATGGAAGATGATAAGAGAACCCTACTGTGTGATGCCATAAATGTCAAGGTAAGAGAGGTCCTGCAGGAGAGAGTGTCCAACAAAAACTGACACAGTCAAGATACAGTGAAGACTAAAAGGACCCCTTGGATTGGGTCACTTGGAGATCCACAGTAACCTTTACTGGATCAAGTGCAGCCACCTGCTGAAAGTAGGAGGTGCACGGGGAAGGACCCACTACACCTTTGAGGAGCTGGGATGAGAAGGGAAAGAGAAATGGAGCATTAAAAAGAACGAATCCATGACTGAGAGGGCCCCCGCCAGGAAGTGCTGATGCCCAGCTGGGCCCGTGCAGAAGGCTGAAGAGGACAGACAAGCCCCCTGGGGATCTGAAGGAATTGGGGCGATGAAGAACACAGGTGAGCAGGCTGGTCTGTTCAGAAGGAAAGCACAGAAGCAGAGAATGACCTGATCTCTTAGTTTGTGCAATCGGACTTCTTGTTTGCCCAACAGATATGTCTGTCCTTCCAGATCCTTCTTCCTGGAAACCTAAGATAAGATCAGAAGATGAACAATAGCTTTATAACTCCTTGTTCCAGTGTTGTCCCTTTTCAGTCTGTTCTCCACATCACAAACCTGAGTGGTTTCTTTTTTTTTTTTTAAGGTTTTATTTATTTATCTGAGAGAGAGAGAGAGCATGAGCAGGGGGAGGGGCAGAGAGAGAGGGAGAAGCCTGGATGTGGGGCTTGATCCCAGGACCCCGGGATCCTGACCCGAGCAGACGCTTCACTGACTGCGCCCCCCAGGTGCCCCTGAGCGGTATCTTAAACGCAGAACTAATCTCATCCTTCCTGGGCTGAAGCCTTTCACTGGCTGCTCTGCATGTTCGGTGGGACAAAGGCAGCCTGAGGTGACAGCAGAGCTAGAAGAGACAGGAGCTACCGAAGAGGGCAGCGTAGAAAGGGCAAGCAAGAAGCCCAAGACGGCATCCGGATTTCTGGTCTGAGCAGCGGGCATATGGAGGGGCCGTTCTTGGAGATATGCAGAACTGGGTGTGGGGGTGTGTGCATGGTACAGTCCTGGGGGTGGGGGGGCCAAAGAGCTTGATTCAGACATCCTGAATGTAAGATGCTTTTGGGTGTTCCAAGTAGGTATTCCAGTAGACAAAAATATATGTATGAAACTCAAAAGAGATCTGGGCTGAAGCAATAGATACCAATTTACTACATATTGTTATTTATAACATATTATTTAATAATATAATATAATATAATAGGGAGACATCAGCATAAGGAATCTGGTGATAAATAAAACTGCCCAGTGAGTAGGTAGAATAAGAAGGGATTAGAACAAAATCCTGAGGAATACCAGCATTTAAAGAGACAGGCAAAGGAAAAGAAGCCCATAAAGACAACTGAGGAATGATCAAAAAGATTTGGTGGTGGTGGTGGAGGGGGGCACCTGGCTGGTTCAGTTGAAGCATGCGACTCTTGATCTCGGGATTGTGGGTTCGAGCCCCACACTGGGTGTAGAGATTACTTAAAAATAAAATCTTAAAAAAAAAAAAAAGATTTGGTGGGTAAGGGGGAAAAAATATGGTATCACAGAAAAAAAGGAGGGAGAGTGTGCCAAAGGCTACGAAGGATGTCAACAAGGTTGATTTTAGCCATCAGGAAGGAATCATTCACAGTCTTGGAAAGAGCAATTACAGCAGGTTAGAAACCAGATCCCAGTGAGCTGTGTATACATGGAGGGTGAGAAAGTACAGCCCCAAGTATGGCAAACACAGCGGCCTTCTTCCAGGAGTAGAGTACAATTAGGAAAGGAAGTGCTGAGTCATAAGGAGAGAAGGAATATGCCCAAACAAGGTTGATTTCAGCTGGAAGAGGACTGAACGAGTTCAGTGATGATGGTAAAGAGCTAATGAAGAGGAAGAATTTGAAGACATTTGAGGGGACAGACAATAAAGCAAAGTCCCTGAGGAGGACGGAGCAGGTGAAGTTCAGAGCAAAGGAGTAGGGGAGGGATTGCACTCCAACAGGAGAAAGAGCTCCCTGTCCCTTTTTAACAGGAGGGAAGAAGAGAATGAGGGTATCAGATGCAGGCAAATTAGTAGCTGGATCATAGGAAGTTGGGAGTTGTCACATAATGGTTTACATTGTCTTTGTGAAGTAGGAAGAAATGTCACCTGTTGAGGGTAAGGGACGAAGGTTGGAGGCTCAGAAAGAATAGGGCTGACACTGATACTTCCATTTTGGAGACCGGGAGAGAGTTCCCCAGGGAAATAAGGAATGCTTGGGTAACACAGAGGGCCCAGCTGTGTTGCATAATCCTGAGTTTAGAACAATTCCAATTTACTTACATTAAGTGATTTTTTTTTTTTCTCAGCAGCACAGCCAAGTTTGAGAAACACTGGCTTATATCAGCCATACTTAACCTGGCTGTGTATTAGAATTACTTGGGGAGCTTTTAAAAAAGAAAAAGAAGAAGAAAGAGATGCCTGGGTCCTATTCGAGACCAATTACATCGGAATCTCTGTGGACAGGACAAAAGCATTTCTTTTTCATTCATTCATTCGAGAAATATTTATTGAATGTGTACTATGTGTTAGGCACTAGGAATACAGCAAAAAAAAGAGATAAAAATATAGAATACAGAAAAAAAAAAGAGAGTCATAAGAGAGATAAAAATTTTTGCCTTCATGGAGTTTACACAGTAGCGGAAAATAAGAGTTAACTTTCTGTAAAGTTCTGCAGGTGATTCTAACAAAGAGCCAGTATTGAGAAACACTGTCTTTAGCTTCTAATTGATGAGGAAACTTTACTTCACTTATGAAATAGGCCCACTCAGAGAGGACTAATAGTTTCCCCAAGACAAATCATGACAGACAGATTAAACCAAAAGGATGAGCACAGGTCTTATGTTCATTCAAATCAGAAGAAAATAGACAGGGACGCCCGGGTGGCTCAGTCGGTGAAGCGTCTGCCCTAGGATCAGGTCATGATCCCAGGCTCCTGGGATGGAGCCCCACATCGGGCTCCCTGCTCAGCGAGGAGCCTGCTTCTCCCTCTCCCTCTGCCCCTGCTCGTGTGCGCTCTCTCTCTTGCTCACTCTCTATCTCAAACAAATAAATCTTAAAAAAAAGTCAACGGAGCACGGTCTCTACAGATAAATCTCAAAGCCTGGGAGCACCTGGACAATGTGACAGGGAGGGCCGGCCATAAGGAAGCTGTAATCGTGCCCACTGAATACCTCTACCTGATGTCTTCAAATGACATGTCCAAAACAGACCTTAGCTTTTCTCTCAAGCCCATTCCCTCTCCTAAGTTCCCCATCTCAGTGAATGCTTCTGTCATCCTGTCTCTCTTTTCCTTCCTGTCATTCACCCAACTGATCATAAATAAGGTCTACTCCACCTCTGAAATTTTTCTTTCTTTTTTGAGAGGGAGTGAGAGAGGAGGAGGGAGGGGCAGAGGGAGAATCTTAAGTTCAGCATGGAGCTCCATGCTCAGCACGGAGCCTGACTCAGGGCTCAATCTCACGATCCTGAGATCATGACCTGAGCCGAAATCTAGACTTGGACACAACCGACTGAGCCACCCAGACACCCCTACCTCTTAAATTTCTTAAATCTGCCCATCTCTGTTTCTACAGTCTAGGCAACTGTGATCCCACAAAAGGATTACTGGAAGAGCATCATTACCAGAATTCCTGTCTCCATTTGTGGCAGAATGGTATTTCTAAAATATTAACTGATCAGGCCACACTCCAACCTAAAACCTTTCAATGGCTTTACACTGTATGTAGGCTAAAATCTAATTCCTCTGGATGGTTTATAAGATTTATTTATTATTTATTTTTAGAGAGAGAGAGCAAGCACGAGTAGGGGGAAGGCAGAGGGAGAGAGAGAGCGGGGAAGAGAGAATCTCCAGCAGACTCCCCACTGAGTGGGGAGGCCAGCTTGGGGCTTGATCTCAAAACCCTGAGATCATGACCCAAGCTGAAGTCAGATGCTTAACTGACTGAGCCACCCAGGTGCCCCCTCTGACTGGGTTTATAACACCCTTTGTGATGTGGCCCCTGTCTCTAAATTCTTACCATTTTACCCCTCCTTTGCTCTCTTCGGTCTGGTCATACCGAACTGCTTCTAGTACTGTGACTATGCATGTTCTCTAGTTGTTAAAATATACTGGTGGTTCCCAAACTTTGCTATACTTTGGAACCAACTGGGCTGCTGCTGCTTCTTTTTTTTCTTTTTGAGAGAGAGAATGTGAGCGGGGGTGGGGTAGAGGGAGAAAGAATCTCAAGCAGGTGCCACACCCAGCATGGAGCCCAACAACGGGCTCGATCTCACGACGCTGAGATCCTGACCTGAGCCAAAACCAAGACTTGGATGCTTAACCAAATGAGCCACCCAGGCGCCGCCCCTCGTCTGGGCTTCTTTAAAAACTACTCCTAGGATGTCTGGCTCCTTCCCTGACATTCTGATTTAATTCATATGGGGGTGAGATCTATGCACAGGGATTCTTGAAAGTTTCTCCAGCAATTTTAATGTGCAGTGAGATTTAACCATGGGGAAAAAGTTATTTGCTCTGCTAGGAATACTTCTTCACCCACTTCACCTGGAAAACCCCTAACCATCTTTTAGGCATCATTAAAAAAAAAAAAAAAGCCACCTTTCTAATTCCCTACCCAAAATTATTTGCCCTATAATTAGTGCCCCTGTACACTGGGCTCCCACTAGCATGTCTTGTATCTTATTTCATTGTAATTGACTGTACAACTGTCATTGTTCCCTGTCAGACTACAGTTGACCCTTGAAAAACGTGGGGGCTGGGTGCCAACCCCTAGGTGGTTAAAAATCCACGTGTAACTTTTGGCTCCCCAAAACTTGACTAATAGCCTACCGCTGACTGATAGCCTTACAGATAACATAAACAGTTGATTTACAGGTATTTTTGATGTTACATGCATTATAGACTGTATTCTCACAATAAAATAAGCTAGAGAAAGCCTTTTTAAGAAAACTATAAGGAGGGGATTAACATAAGAATAAAAAATAAATAAATGAAAAAAAAAAAGAAAACATATTTACAGTACTGTACTGTATTTACTGAAAAAATATCTATGTATAAGTGGACCTGTGTTGTTTCTTTTTGACAATGAACAAATCTGGTTTTGGTTGAAGAGGGAATCACTTACCTGTTTAATGACATAATGAACTTCTTCAGAATTGAGAACACTAGATTTAATATCACTTGGCTTGCAAGGAGTAATTCCCTTATAGACAAGAGGTGTGTAGCATTTCATTGCAAATTTCAAGTCACTGACATGCTTCCTCTCCTCTAAAATATCTTCAAATTCATCCCATTTTTTGAGCTCCTTCTGTGGGTAAGGCAAACGAAAGAAAGTAATGAACATACTGTAAAGTAAATTAGGACAGATGAGAGACTACACTGGTTAAGGTTTCATCTTTGCCCACATTTTTATGCTAGGACATATGAACAAGAGCACAGTGAACTGATAATAGGTCTTCCTATACTAAGAAAAGGAAATGTAATCATAGTTGGCATCAAAAAATGGAGATTGAAGTATAATATTTTATTATTTCTGCTTGCTATCTTTGTAAAGCCAGTACCCCTCTGGGAAAGTTAACAAAGATAGCAAAGATTGAGACATTAAGCTCTAGAATCATCTGATCAACTTTACAATCAATTGTATCTGACCAATTTTATCAAGCACATTGATAAATTTGTTTTGTCTGCCTCTTCTACGTAGCTTTAAAAATTAAAGCATACAATAGAAATTCAAAATTATGTCAAATCAAATAAAAATACATGGGTGCAAATAAAAGGAAAATTCAGTTAAGAAAAAAGTGCTCCCATAGAAGCTATTGGTGAGCAGTCTGTCTTGCTCTGACTACTTTCTTACCCCCTTTTGACTCCCTGCAGTTCAGCTTCCATCCAACCAGTCCCTGAAACCGCTGTTTATCAGGCTACCAATGACTACTGAATTGTTAATTCTTAAAATTTTGTTTTTCTGATTATAAAAGTAATAATAGTAAAAATGATAATTACAGCTAACATGTACAGTTGTTTCCCAAAGGTCAGGCACTATTCCAAGGCACGCTTCCTTAATATGGGAATGATCCTCCACAATGGGAAAACCAAGGCATGGAGAACCAAAATAACTCACTCAGCGTTCCACTCTGCAAAGGACAGAGGCATGATTCAAACGCGAGCCTTATGGCTTCACAGAACTTGCTCCTAACCTCTATCCTACACTACTCACCGTTAACTATGGAAAGTTTGGAAACATGGAAACATACAAGTAAACATAAATTGCCCACAATTTTATACCCCAGGAATAACTACTCTTTACCACTTCCTAGTTTCCTTATTTTTTTTTTCATTCACAGCTACACAAATACATGGTTTTTATTCAAAATGTGGACCATACCAAATATAGTTTATCTTGCCTTTTCAAGTATGTTACAAGCATTTTCCTGTATTAAATATTGTTTTAAAACATTTTAGAGGAGGCCACTTCCTCAAATACTTTTTTTCCCTGGTGACTGAAGGGCTGCGGTTTGGCCTTTACCCTCCTGGAGAAGTGCTGCTGAGATGGCAGGGGTGCCTGGTAATGCATGGCGCCCTTCCATCTACGGGCTGTGATGAGAAGCCAAGAGCCACATCCCTTCTCCCTGGCTACCACGGGTTCTGCCAACACAAGGCTGTCTTCTACCCGCAGTTGGCAGACCCTAGGCACTTCCATCTTTCTTGAATAGACCTGTGTGGGCAGTGGTCAACTTACTGGGGAAAAAAATGCTTAGAGAGTCTGGGGCACTTAAATAGCAATTAGGTCACTTTTACTTCTTTACTGTATCTTAAATGGGTATAGGGTTTTATCAAAAGGATTCTAATAAAATGTTCTAAAGCCAAAAAAAAAAATTTTTTTTTCTAATTACCAAAGTGCTGTATGTTCATTATAAAAATCTGGAAAATACAGTAAAGCACACAGAAGAAAATTAAAATCATCTGTTGTCCAATGACCCGGGGCGGAGGGGAGGGGGTCCATTTTAGTGAATGCTTTTTTTTCTGGGCAGGTAGACACATTCCCTCCCCTGACACACATACATTTTGATTTGCCACCTGATTTTTCCACTTCATGTTATAAACACTTCCCTTTCATTTAAGTTTCTTCCACTGTATTATTTTTAATAATGGACATATGAATTATTTTTCATGCACTGCTATTATAAGAAAATGCAACACACATTATGATTTCTTTCGAACTTAATCACTAAACCCTGGTCTCTTTCGAGTCTTCATCTTCCTAGACCTCCCTCCAGCCTGACACCATTCTCAAGGGCTCCCTCCTTTCCCCACCTCCAACCATCCTGAAATTTTCCTACTTTGGTTTTTGATTCATGACTCTTGTCACAGCAGAAGATCCATCTCATTGCTCTAAACCCGCGATTTTCAACCTGAGGGGAAAACTTCCTCCCAAAACTAAAATATGCCTTCTTTCCTCCCACTTCCCTTAATGTTAACATCTCCAACCCTCTTATCTTCATACACTGTGCTGAGTCCTCATACCTACTCAACTGGCTTTAGATACTAATTATACACACTGTTGAATCTGCTGCTCTGTTCTCTTTGCCCATGTGAGCTCCTGATGGACACATTTATCTGCAAACACTTCACCTATGGCCTTTCCCAAACTGAACTCATTTCTCCTCTGCACAATCCTACAACCTGATTATTTCCCAGAAATCTCAACAACTGCCATGCCACATATATCCCTTTGCCTTATCCTAGACCCCTCCTCCCTCACCCTTACCCACGATCCATCTAATCCTGTCCAGGTGGCCTTTAAGGATGTAGCAGGACTACTCCTCAGTCACAGGTCCAGCCTGTGCACTTTATCACTATAGCCCCCTCACTGGTCTCCTTGCCCCTTTGAATCAACCCTCCATGCTGCCATGTGTGCTCTTTTCAAAACACAATTCTGACCAAATTGTTCCCTGCTTAAAATACTTCCATGATTCCCACCTCCTTCAGAATTAAGACCTAAGCCACTTGTGGCATCATACAAGGAACTCTATGACCTGGCCTGTCCTTCCCTCTCCAGACTCACTGGCCACCATGCTCAAGGTCTACTCAATAGCAAGTGATTTGCATTTCCTCCAATACAATTCACTGTGGACATGCTCCTGGGCCTTAGCACATGCTCATCTCTGGGCCCCGAAGGTCTTTTTGTTCCTCTCTCATTCCTGCTCAGGCATTACTGCAGTGAAAACCCTCCTTGAGCTACCCACAGGGATTTACTCTTTCTCATTAGAATGTCTTTAACAACTACCTACATCTATTAGGGTATGTAGCCATAACCCTGCAATCGTTCGCATGTCTATCTCCCTAAGATGCAATTATCTTGAAGGTGGGAAACACATGTCCTCTTTGTATTTCCCAACATCGAGCTGCGTTTGGAATATAGCATAATTGAATGACTAAATGTTGAAGTAATGGAAAAAGATACAGAATGTTAAACGGAGAACATGACTAGGCATAATGAGAATATAAACAGAAGAGTATTATGAGTCTCAACATAAAAAGGGCAGCATGTAAAACATGTGAAGTATGCAAACATGAACATTTTTATGCCCACATATATAGAGAATATATGTGGGGAAAATCTAACTGCTAGAATTCTGGTGTAAAACTGCAGTCCTTGTAACATACTACACCCCTACTTCTAAATTTCAAGAACCTTCTCAAATTCCACATTTCTCATTAGTAAAACAATAGACAGTTTATATATAGACTCAGACTTGGTACAATGTAACAAACTATCATAAATTATATAATTTTAGGGATAAAAGTTGACTCAGAGACTTTCCACTTAGTGGTCCTGGGGGTGGAAAGAGAAAAGGATCAGAATCAGCTGGGAAGAGAAATACTATATATACCAATATACGGGCATTTATAAACAGGTTACATATATATATGAATATATAAAATACTTACAAATAAGTATACATACATGTATACACACACAGAGAGAGAGAGAGAGAGAGATGGAGAAAGAGGGAGAGACCCTTCCGCACTGTTCACCTGGAAATACTTAGCCATCAACCACAGCTCCTGTTTACCTCTGTGTACCATTTCCCAACTCTCCCCTCAACCGAGACTGAATTGATCATCCTCTCCTTTTAGACTTGACTGAGCCTTTCCCAACAGCATCTAAAATACTTCATTAACCTGGATTGTTATCTCCCCTACAAGATTATAAACTTCTTGTCTGTGGAGGTAATGGGGGAGATTGGTATCTCCCCTACAAGATTATAAACTTCTTGTCTGTGTCTTATATGTTTTTGTATTCCCTAGTAAGAATTCAATCATTGTAGAATGAAAAAATAAATTACAGCCACTTCCTGAACTCTGCTGCTGATGGCTCCCCAATATTCACAGGCTAAAGCTCAAACTGCTCCCAATCTGGTCCTAACCTGATGTCTAATCCAGTAGTTTTTAACCCAGGCTGCACATGAGAATAACCTGGGCACTTTAAAAATATGCCCAGGTCCCCCTAGAGATTTTTTTTTAAGTAGGCTCCACACCCTTGAGACCAAGACCTGAGATAAAGAGTCAGACGCTTAACAGACTGAGCCATCCAGATGCCCCTAGAGATTCTTGATTAATTTGGTCTGTGAATGGTACCTGGGCATCAGAATGATTTTTAAAAGTACTCCCAGTGATTCCTACATGCAGCTAGGGTTGAGTGTTAACTACTCATTCGTTGGCCTTCCCTAAACCATGATGGAGAAGTATTTACCATCATAAAATAAATATATTTACATGGCCACTTATCTAGGAGCACAATACAAAGAGGAGCCCAAAAAAGAAGGTTTAGGTTATATCCCCCCTTTGTTTCTCTCTCTTACTTTTTATAGCAGCCCCTCCTTATTTGTAGCTAAATAGGCTTCTCCTTGTACCTCCCTTTTGACTGCTCTGGAGGATTCATTCATTCAACAGATAGTTATGGAGAGCCCACAATGTACCAGGCGCTGTTCCACAGGCTGGGAATAAAGCATGAACAAGGCAGACAAAGAATGTGTACTGAAAGAGCCTACACTCCCTTAAGGAAAGACAGACAACAAATAAACAAGTGTACTTAGGCATACTAGCAGTAGCATGCTGATGAGTGTTTATGTGAAAGCCCTAATTTATAGCATTCGCCAACTTCTGTGGCATTTACACTCCCACCGTGGCAGCAGATTTCAAGCTCCCGACATGACCTCACTGAACACAGAGCTGGGGAGAGATGTGTAGTAGCCATGATTACATAGGATTTCCATCTTATAGTATCATAGACAGAAATAACCTCAAAAGCATAGATAATAGTAAAATCTAGTAAAATAATTAGGAAGTGCTGAGTTTTGAGTATTTGTTACTTTTGTTAACAAAATTTATTTAAATGTAAATTTATAAAACTTAATCTTTAATTTTTAATAATGTCTGTGTTCCAACAATGGGCTCACAAACGTCATGGAAAATTAACAATCAGCTTTGACAGTCAGTACAAGACTACTGTAAGCACAACACTGGAAAGGGAATATAAAGGAAATAGAGTAACGAGGAGTGACTGGAGAGCTACTTTAGATTGAATGGTTGGGTAAGGCCTCTCTGAGAGGGGATATTTGAGCAGCGACCTCAAAAAAAACGGGGGGGGGTGGGCTGGAGGGGAAAACAGCATGCCACTGAGAGGGAAAGGTGAACACTCTTGAGAGACCATGCTTACTGTCTGAGAAACAGAAGGCCGGTGTGGTTGAAGCCCAGAGCGCAAGATTAGTAAATTCAGGGAGGTAGCAATTATGTAGTCTTGTAAGATGTTGTAAGGAGTCCAGATTTGTCATTCAGACTTTAACAGGAAGCCATAGCTTGGGTTCTGGGTATACCAGTAATTCTCCAACCCCAGTCTTCTTTTCATTCTGTGGTCTCACTGAAAGACTGCAGGCAGACCTATGGCCTCACATACAATCTACTTGCTGATGTCTGACGAATCCATATATTTAGGCCAGACCTTCCTCTTTTGCTCTGGTACCATATTTCTAACTCTATCTGGATGTCTCCCCCACACCTTGTGATGTTATCAGGTCCATAACATAGTAATCCATAAGTTAAAAATCATTAATTTTACCACTGGCATCTCACACTGAACACATCCCAAACTGAAATTATTATATTACCCTGACTAAACCTGTTCCTCTCCCCAGATTTCCTATCAGCAAAAGGCATGAACATCCACCCACGTGCCAAATCACAGACACCTCCATTTCTTTAGCCACGGCATTTCCACTATCCTAAATATTACACAGGCTCACTGCCATTGCCTCAGGCTTTCATCACTTCTCTGAATTACTACAATGGTGTTCTGCTGCTCTCCACGCTCTGGCATCAGATTCCTTCTCCAATCAGATTCTCCTTCTACAGTCTCTACTCAAGTAAAGGTTATCCACACAAATAACCATTCCAGAAACCTAGTCTTCTTAGACTTTCAAAAATACAAATCTGATCATCCTGAAATGTTCCCTTAGAAAGTTAAGATTTTATCCTTAAGGGTGTGTAAACCTGATACATAAAACCCCCTTAGGAAGTACCTTCTGCCTACATCCCTAGTTTTGTTTCTCACGTCTCCTTTATTCCACCCTTACTACTTGGTTCTCCCAAACATGCAAAGGAGTGGCTTTCTTACATGGATGCCTAGGCCAGTCTTCCTCTCCTCTCTCATCTTCGAGTCACAACTCAAAAACTCAGCTCAGGTGTCACCTTCTCTTAAAAGCCTTCTCTGAAGGTCAGGTGCTCCTTCTTATTCCTCCCACAACATACTGTGCATGATTCAGTCATTGGCCTTATCTCAACTGTAATTGTTCATTGCCATGACTTTCTTTCAAGTCCACAGACACAAGGGGTGGAGCTTTCACTTTCACATCTTGGAAGTTGAGAATGAGTAGGATGCTGTAGGTACGAGTGCTGCAATGTTTGCTGCAGTCAAGAGTATCTTAAATATCTCTGAGCACCACTCTCACATTAGATGTAGTATTGCACAATGTGCAGTGTGGCTGAAATAAGGACAGCCTGAAATAGGAAGAAAAAGTTCAGGTCATCATGAAAAGTAGACTCTGCACACAAGAGTAGTGAGGGTTCTGTCCAGCTTTAGAAGCAGAAAAAGCTCACATACAATTGCTTTAATTTTTCATGTGAACAAGTTGGCAAAAGTGTTATCATGAAAGAACCAGTGGTAAACGGGGACGTAAAAAAACCAACTCTTCCCTTTAATACACAGGTGCAAAGCTGTAGTCAACTCACAAACCGGTTTAGGGCTGAAAAAGCTACCTATGGCGGAGTCAGACGTACTAAGCAACCTGCTTCCCCACATGTCGGCTCTGGAATAGCAGAATCAGAAAATGAGGTCAAAGACAGTTCTACCACAGAGTTGTGGGGTGAGAAGGTCAATGAGGAGAGAGGTTAAAGTAATAACCCTCACAGAAGTGGACAGTTGACAGCAATTATAAGCCCAGAGCTCTCCCCATCGAGGAAACAAGCTGACACACCAGTATTCTTTGGAACATAGAGAAACTTCTGTTTCCGCGATATATAGCCCTATATATATCGCTTCTCTTTTGAAACTGAGTTTTTTGTTTATCTTGTTTTGTCTTCCCTGTAATGACCTTCCGACACACATTAACATTAAAGTCAGAAACTGGCGCTAGCCTGCAGGACACAGTAACATGCTCTTAAAATGCATTCTTTTATTTCCTTGTAAAGTAGATAAAAATTAATTTAATGGTTAAAAAAATATATATCCGTTGCCCCAGAATTGTGCAATCCTGAGAACTACAAAGGGTTCACCTCCTAATTTCTTCACATAAATTGCGAGTGACCAACACTGTGGTGGCAAAAAAGATCAGTTAAAATCAGGAGAGGGAGGAGGGGCCTGGGGGTTGGAAGGCAAGTTGGGAGAGGCTGGGTGGCATTAGTTGTCTTCCAAAATGACTTCTGCAAAAAAAGTAAGCATGGAAGACAAAACGCAATAAAAATTTCCAGAAGTTCCAAATCTTCCTAGATTAAAAACTTTACGTCTTACAAACTATGCCCACATACAAGCCAAGTACTTTTCTTCCAGGAACATCACGGCAGCAAAAGGGCAGGGTGGGGAGCCGCATGCGGGATGTATCTCAGGCCGGGTCAGACCCGCAGGTTTCTCCGGTTTAATAAAAATTTCAGGTAGCCCTGGCTAGAGACCGAGATCCAATTCTCACGCCTCATTCCTGTATCAGGGGCTTTTTGAAGGCCCCGTCCCTGGTGGAGGGAACGAGAAGGAACGAGTGGAAAGGAACCAGAGGAAACATCAGCCATAGAAACTTCTAAAAGCACACACACATTTACACACGCAGCGATACACCGTTGCCTTGGAAACCAAGTCAACCACCTACCCCCTCCTCGGCGGCCCCGGGACCCACTCTTTTGGGCCAGGGGTCGTGGCCGGTGGGAGGCCGGGACCGAGCGGGTGGGGTCCTCTCTCGCGGCCCCGCCCCGGGCCTCGTTCCCCTGGGCGCCTACCGAGTAGAGGAGCACGACAGCGCCGGGACTGGCGGAGCCGACGGAGAAAGAGTTAGATGAACTGGAAGAATCCATGGTGCGGCTGCCGTCCCGGGCGGGGCCTGAAATTCTTTGCTAAGCGGTGGTGATGCTGCTGCTGGAGGCGGTTCTTCCGCGCTGGGCGGCCCGACCTCGCCTAGGGCGGCGGCACCCTCTGCTGCCGCTCCACAGGACCCCGGGCGCCGCCATCTTAACCAGGACGGAAGCCGCGCCGGGACCTGCGACGCGCGCGCGCTCACCGCATCGGAACTCGGAAGTGTGGGTGCCGCGACGCTGAAATTCCCGCGGGCTCTCGGCGGTACCGCGGTGGCACACACACACACCTCCCCCCCGATGGCCCAGGAGCAGGGGTTGGGGTCCCGCGCGCCTCCCGGCTCTCAGACGCTCCTGGACGCCCTGCTCCGGAACCTCTACGATTTTGGTGAGTGCGGGGCCTCGGAGCCCACGTGGAGAGCGGGCTGGCAGCTGAGGTCAGCTGTGCCTTCGGAACTAGGCCGCCCTCGGCTCTCGGTTCTTGCACGTGGAGCACCCGTCAGCTCGTCCGACCTGGTTCTCATGATGGGTCCAGCACACACCTCCGGCAGAGTTCCCCTCCCCCTCGCCCCACGATCGGGCTCTGTTGTTGTTCTTCACGGATCAAGCCTCCCAAGTCGTCCCTGAGTGCGGGCACCAACCTAGTTGGCTTGTCGTAAGCAGCGAGGCTTTCAGGCTTACAGGGTGTGATGCACACAGGACCTCGGGCTCTCGAAAATAGCCCACCCTTTCGCGTTTCGTGGCCCTCTGGGAAGCCCGCTTCCCCCACACCACCCTCCCAGCCCCGCGTGACCCTGGTGCGTTGGTACCACCTTGTCACCGTAGAGCCCCGACCTTCAGTGTGTTCCAACCCCCGCGGACTTCAGGACGTTTTCACGTGAAGCTTTTCTCAGCCTTTTCTTCCACTAAGTTGGCCACCCTCTCCTTCTATCTTCCTTGGGGAAAAGGAAATAAAAACGGTTATTCAAGACTGGGAGCCGTCTGGCACCTTAGTAGGAAGACAGTTCCACACACTCCGAAGAATTTGCTCCAGGTGAGGTGACATCCCTTGTTCAGGCAAGAGATAGCCTAGGCATAAGTGTCTTTAAGGAGCAAACATTTCTTAAATTTGTAAGGTGCTCTTGCAAAAGCTATTGTAGTTTGGAGCCATTGCTCAAAATTCTAAGCTCACTTACACAGTAAAAATAACAGCTAAAAAGTATAAGAGAATTTGCCATATAGTCCATGTCTTTCATGTATTTACTCATTTAATCTTCGCTTCCTGGTGAAATACATACTGTCATTAATCCCATTTATTACAAATGTAGAAACAAGAATTAGAGATTAAAAAAGGTACTGAAGTTCACCTAGCAATTAATTTGCAGAGCCTGGGTTCCAATCCCCAGACTGTCTAGACCCTGTCCCTCCCCTTGTATTGACTTGTCCTATGGACACAACATCTCTGTGCCCTTGGGAATATCGGAGGACAGAGAAGACTTAGTCTCTGGCCTTGAGAAGTTTAAAAACTAGAGGAAAAGACAATTCTGCCAAATCCTAAATATAGTTTATGTTAGCACAGGCTTGAAATTATGCGAGGCGCTCTGAAGACTTGGGCTGTAACTACCCATTTTTAGGTGCCCAATGCCAAAGTTTAGTTGACCCTTAATATTAAGTGAACATAAACGATCAGCCGATGTTTAGAGAGTGCTGTGATACTTGCACTGTAGCTGAGTAATGAGGTCAGAACCTTCAGGTGACTGGTCAGAATTGAACAGGTAAAACAAAGAGGAGATACGGGGATTTCATAGAAAATAAATGTGTTCAAATTGAGTCAGTTGTTGTAGGTTCATCTTAATTCATAACTGAAAAAAAATAGGCAGATTATGATACCCACCTGTAACCCTAGAGAGTGTTTTCTTTTTTTTTTTTTTAAAGATTTTATTTATTTATTTGAGACAGAGAGAATGAGAGACAGTGAGCATGAGAGGGAGGAGGGTCA